TTATTTAATGGAAGTGGATATATTTACGTCGTCGTAAACAAATCAACGATATATTTACGTAAATGAAACAACGCATGCACAGTCATATTTTAACAAACTTGCATTTTCAGCACTCGATATTAGCGTGGCCTACCATGGCCGCGGTGATTCCCCCAAGTTCAGCATGGCACTTTAAATTAATTTATAATTTGTTTTTTTTTTTTTTTTATTAAACGTAATTTAATTTTCTACAACAGCACAGTATGTAGTTTAATCACTAAATAAATTATTAAATCATTGTGTTAAATTTTCAAATAAAAGTGATACTGTATTATGAGCTGGAAATGTTATGTTCATCTTACTCAATCATTTGTTAAATGAACACACTTGACCTAAATACTAGGCCTATGCAAGGTTTCCTGCTAAAACTTAATTACCAGGAATCAAGACGATATTCTTCTAGGCCTACCAGTATTGTTATAGTCAATCATCACAAATTAAACACCCTAATGTTTTCATTCAAACAAATTTACCCACATCGTCACTAACAAAAACAACATTGTTATATAGACTTCAGGGTAATTCGTCTTCAGACGGATCGAGCATCGAGCCCCAATCGATCACGAAGAACATACAGGAAGACCATGTTTGGTGAGCACATGATTCACTCTACAAAGTACTGTACGCTATGTGAAGCAAGAAGTAAACAACGAATAATCGTGTATTTTCTGTAAGATATTGAATCACTACGAAAAAAGTGAAACCAGGGTAAGACAAAAGTAAACAAATATTTTTAATATTTTATTCAAACATATTTTTCCAAGTAGTCGGATCACTAACAAAGCAACATTGGCATGATGTGCATGTGTCTACGAAGTATGGATACAGAACTCAACAAATGATTGAGTAAGATAAACATAACATTTCCAGCTCATAATACAGTATCACTTTTATTTGAAAATTTAACACTTGATTTAATAATTTATTTAGTGATTAAACTACATACTGTGTTATTGTAGAAAATTAAATTATGTTTAATAAAAAAATAAAAAACAAAATTATAAATTAATTAGTGCCATGCTGAACTTGGGGGAATCACCGCGGCTTGGGAGGCCACGCTAATATCGAGTGCTGAAAATGCTAGTTGTTAAAGTATGACTGCGCATGTGTCGTTTCAATTAAGTAAATATATCGTTTACTGATTTGATTACGACGACGTAAATATATCCACTTCCTTTATTTTTAAAGGATTTTATAAAAAAATATGTAAATTAATGAGCTCATCTTCTTCAGCAACCAATGACTCTGTTTATTATGTTTTTCTTAATTATAGACAATTATATATATTCACCTTCAACTACATAAATTACTAAAATTGTAGTCGTAATACTTTGATGAAACTGAACCTAAGAAATGCTAGGCCTCCAATATTAAACCTGCAGCAGATACTTTTGACCGCAGCTGTCCCGAACCGATGCATGTTCTTGATGACGATTTGCTGGTCTCAGAACTGACGGCAAATACAATGTTTTGTATTGTATAAATACACATTCATACTTATACCTTTTAAAAAACATGTGTAAATTTCATTAAAAGTGTTAACTGTATGTATATAACAAGAAATACCTGTCCTTTGGCGTCCTGGACATTGCATCAAATGCGTTCACGAAAAAATTCGGCGGCCATCTTCGTCTACAATAATGACGTCATATTACAGCGTATGTTTTTGGGTCAATGCCCTTGCGAGCAAGTAGGATCTTGTATAAGTTCTTTGTTCATCATCATTGAATGTCAGCATAGTATATGAATGTTTATCGACGAAACCAAGGTTGATCCCTCGATGAATATACATTGAATACAGTAGCATATGGATATAAATCGATTGGGGGCCTATGCCATCATCAGTGCTTAAACTTTTATTAAATCAGTGATTGTTTATTAACTCCCATGGTACATACGGAAATTCATTTTTTTAACATTAGCTCGTATCAAATGTCACATATTGTTTTTAACAACAAAAATAGTATTCAATGTAAATGGTAATGATAAATCGATAAGATAATCTATGATTATAAGAAAATAACTCAAAGTATCTTTCAATCGAAACTGATCCATACATACTTGTTAACGCACTATATAAAATTATTTGATGGCGCCCTCGCAGAATATCGAACTTTTTTAGGCGTGAAACTATAAACGCTATATACAGTACGTGACAACAACGCTAATATACGCCTGTGCACAATGTAATTAAATACATATTAACTGGATTCATTTTGATTTTTCTTTTAATAAGTCTCATACAAGTTTACAACTGACTTGTTCACAGCGGAAGGGCCCCAACTTCTCTTTAAGATAGGCCTAACTTGGTGCAGAAACGATTTCTTCTGTGGAAGTTGGTTCATTGGCAAATATGAAATACATTTTCAATATAAATGCTGATTATTATTTTTATTATCTACAATTTTGTTTTTCTAACTCTGTGTTACTGAAGAATTGTTTGGCCACGTCTTCTCTTTGTATAATTTTTCAGAATGACCCGGGTAGGCCTTTTTTTCCGAACGGGAGGGGAGGCACAACATTATTCAGAATAGATCAGTGAGAGCGCTAACTTCAATATGTACGTGCCCACTTTCCCTCACTACTGGATCTGCCCCTGTGGTTAGGGCCAATGGCGGATTCAAGGGGTCCATTAGACCCCGCTTCCCAATTTTTTTTTTCTGGGATCCAATTTTTGATTTCATTCCCAGACAAGCTGCGACCCATGTAGGCCTAATATTAAATGTCATATGGTGGATACAGGAATTCGTAATAGAGTGGCCCAGCGAGAGATTTTCACAGAAAGAGGGTCCATCCAGAAATTATAGTAACAATTTGTTAGATATACGAATAAGGGTAAAACTTTACTGTAAATTGCTTGGTTTTGTTTTTGTTATGCTATTTATCCGTTTGTTGTTTTTAAACTGTCTTTTGCTTTCCTTTGTTTACATTTTATATTGTCCATGGGTGCACCATCAAGGTGATGGGTGCCACTGATCTGAAAGTGAACCAATAAATCGTATCGTATCATATCGAGGAATAATTTTATTTGTTATGTAAAGATTCACATTGTAACAGACCTTTTAATTCCCGGTAGAAACATCATCCATGGCCATAATGTTCCCAACTGTAGCCTCCGTAACACTTTACTTTTAAGGCGGACCATCTCGTTTGTACACAATAAACGCGCACAATTTTGGAAGCTGCAATTTTCTCATGCAACAAACTTTTTCAAGTTATTAGTATAACCTCACATTTACAGACAATTTCGAAATGTTTGGAAGCAAATATCTTTCACGCAGTGCCATATAGGGTAATTATTTAAAAAAAAATCTTAAATATAGAATACAGTAATAATATTATATTAAGAATGTATTTTTGAATATCTAAAATCTGAGGAAAAGGTAGATGTTACGCACTTTCCCCTGGCTAGTTTATATGTATACCAAATATTCAAAAATAAATTTGTAATGTATCATTACAGATATAACGATTTTCCAAATTTTCCGTCAAGCACCTTCGGTGTCTTAGAAATCTGGTACAATTTGTCTGAACTTTTTTCTACGGAGCCTGGTTTTAAGGATCAAACAAGGGCCGCCTAGAGCGGCTCTGGGCCTCAAATGGGGTGGGGCCGGCGGCGGAGCCATCCAGCAATGTCCATGGGCAGTGTCCATGTAGGGATTGATTGAGGGCAAAGCTCCCAAGGTTTGGCGTATTATGTAGTAAGAACCGTAACATGAAAGTAGATCATGTCCCCATGAAATACCGGTAGGCAACAAAACCCCTTCCTTATGAATATGTGGGGGACATGCGCCCTGCGCCCATCTGCGCTTATGGGTGCATGAGAATCCACACCACCTCAGCCCCAACATTGGTGCTGAGGTTGACCAACTTTGAATGGGGGGGGGGGGAATGCGTTCGCCCTATTTGCACCTCCTGCCACGGACCTTTTTTAATTAGTTCTTTGGTGGTGCAGAACATGAATGTGAATAGCATACATGTATTTTCCAGATAATATTAGCCTTCTTATTTTACCAAATCGAAGGTAATTTAATTTCTGTCGGTACCAGTTTCTTATTCTTATTCTTTATTGGCAAGCCAGACATGGAGGGCCATGTCTCAAAGTACACTTAATTATTACAACATAATATGTCAGAGAAGAATATTATATTCTCGTTTTCTCCATTTAGGAAAAAGGCCCGGGCCTAAGAGCCCCGGCCCTTGGTTGAGAGCAAATCCCCGGCAATTAATTTGGCACTGGGGCCTTTTAGCACCTAGCTACGCCATAGAAGCTCATAATGTTATTGGGCATTGAAAATACTAAATTTACCATAAAGGTAAATGTTTCGATAAATACATCAATGGAAATTGCGAATATAAACGAATAATCAAGGATTTTTAGCAGCTGTATTTATAAGATTTTTGAAGAATTCGAGTGTTTTCCGATGAACTATCACGTACAAACTATGTTTCACTGAAATTATGTTTATTCCCGTTTAAGTTTGAGAATGCCATTTCCGGCTATAAGACAGGGGCAGATCCAGCCTGCCAGAAAAGAGGAGGAGGGGGGGCGCAATCTGCGAGCCCGGGTCTACTGGGAGGGGGAGCCCGGTCCAAGATGAAAAATTTTCTGGGTAAGAACAAAATCTCCAGGGCCCGAGCCCAAGCCAGGATGAAAACTTTTGTTGTCAGATTTAGGAGGAGACTTAATTTGGGGAGCGGCCGAGTGGGGGTCCCAAGTGAAGGGGGGAGGGGCATGCGAGGTGTTGCCCCGGGGCCCTTACTGGCTCTCGACGCCACTGCTACTTTGTTTCATGTCAATTAGAGACAATAGGATTATTCAATTTCATACAGTATATCTTGTAAATTACACAATGATGATTAAACCGGTACTGTACTTGAAAACAATAAGGAAGAAAAACTTACACGTCAAAAGTGTCAAATGTTGTCTACACAAAAATGTACTTTATTAAAAGAGCAAGTCTACTGAAGGGATGTCGTCAATAAAGATGTGCACACATATCAGTGTACTGTGGTCTCTGTGCATGGGGTTGTCTGACAGCATATACCTGCTGACCTCGATAGGGAGTGATTGATCGCACGAAAGTTTCCATGCTGGTGCATCTGCGCTTAAACTTTCTTTGTAGCTATGCATTGCGTGATGTGACATAGAATCAACCTTTCTATGGAATTGAGTATCCGTTTAATTATCTCCAAAAAAAAAAATAATAATAATAATTTTTTTTTTGTGATAATTAAGGTATATGTTGAAGCTTGCGTTACACCACGTCCACCCAACAAATCCGCTTCTGTAAGCGGTACCATAATAATGTGTTACAGACCTCCGATTTGTGAAAGTTCCACCCTGGTCCTTTCCACTGGGGCCAGATTTATCAGCTTATGTTCATCCTAAGTCCATTTTTTTGCTTGTCAAGTTATCACTATTATTGCTTGAACTTAAAAATTGCTTAAATTAAAAAATTGTACGCATGAACCACCTAAGGCGATTTTGCTAAGATGGTTTGACAAATCAGCTTAAGATTTTGCTTAGGGACTTCTGAACTTTTTTGACTACGAAGATAACAGAGCACCTACTGCAGCGCTTGTGTTAATAATGGAACTCAATATGACACAGCAATCTAAATCGGTAGAGTGGTGGACGTATTCGCCTCAAAAACAAAGGAATTGTTTTCCCTCCCTGTTCCCAATCAAATCAATGAATTAGAAGCAGTCCAAGTTGGAAACTGTTCTAAGTGGTCTAGGAGTTTTGGTGGATTGATTTTTGGAACGAATTTTTGAATAAATTGTGATAACTTCTGAACAACAGATAATACAAGTTGAAACAAATATGTTGGGAATATATTTGTATTTCATTTTAGGCCAAGTAAATAATGGATTCTAGCTCCATATTTTACAATGCTGTATCTATAAAATCATAATCCATTACAAATGTTGCTACCAGCATAACAAATTGATCTGGAAAAGCTATTTATTTCTTCCTAATTTGTTATATCAAATAAGAATTTTTGCTTATTTGATTAAATTGTCCAAAAGTGTCACTGAGAATTTTATTCACATTTTTCCTTATAAACTGGTTAACTTTCATTGCATGATGCGTATCCATGATCAGCTTTAAAAATCTAATGGCGAAGATACATTACTTGAACTGCATCCTTTCATAGTTTTAAAATGTTCACCCTGTGATCTGCTCACATTTTCAGACAAATCAGGTGGTAGATGTATCTTTTCTATTGAGAAATTTTTTCGCTTCAGTTTGAATGCCAAGTCTTCGGTATCTAGTGCATAGTTGGTCAAGCAGTTTATCCTAGGAATTTGGACAACATGAAACAAGCCATGATACTCTTTAAATGCTGGCGACTTATCCTCCCCAGCGAAAGACTGCAATCTGACAACATAATCACACAGTCTTTCTATTCTTCTGGAGTACATTGGTTGATAAAGATGTGTTGGCATGGTTACAAGACACACTGCTAAACTCTTCCTAAGTGTTGCTCTGATGGAATGAAGGAACTGACACATAGAAGCATTTCCCTCAGCAGTTGTTCCCGACTCGCCCCACAGTGGCGATCCCAGAGATAATAACGATATTCTCAAAACATTCTTTGGGGAAGAAATAGGCTTGAAAGATGCTTGTAAATTGCAACCACTAATGTCTATTACTCGTTTTATCTCTTCTAATAATCCATCAAATTGTGATGATGGTGATTGGTAACACCATAATTTATCTTTATTAATTGTTTCCATTGGCATTGTCTTTGTTAAGTCAAAGAAGTGACCAAATACGTGAGACGACATTGACAATTCTGTTTTTAACTGAGGTAAATTTTGGTAGCGCCATGCAATTTCCATATTCCCCAGGGAACTTCTCTCAGGTTTCTCTGGGATGGTCGCAGTTTTGCTTGCCACACTACTACTGGGTGGATTCAAAACAGTATTAATAGGTTGGGGGACAGTTTTTCCAGTAGATAACGTATTTTCTACTGGGAATGGCAATTCTGCAAGTAAACTTTGAACATTACAATCCATACTAGATAGGAATGAATAGTGACCACACACAACACCCTCTGCAACGAAGTACTTCAACATCAGGCGAGCGAAGCTGGAGTACACATCCTCTTCGACCAAAAGGACACTGCCAACTGCAAGTCCTCCACCTAAAATATGGTCAAGCGAAGGGATTCCTGTTGATAATAAAAGTTGACCATTGTGGAGAGATGGACGGGTACCAGGAATCTGGACCGATTTTCCGTGTCCCTTTTTACGAAAACTTGATACAAACTGAGTATTACTAGAAGAAGTATCCCTGCTAATGGAAGCGGCCATATTTTTTCCACCGATTTCTATTCAACCGCGCGCTACAACCATGTCCCCGTGACGTGCGAATAGTCATTTAGATTATAATACGTATCAAATAATCTCGCAAACCTTTGGTCTTGTAACGGTTTATTGTTATATTTTCTGTGTACTATGACCAATGCTAATAAAGGAAGTGTTTTACCTTAAAATTATTTATGATAGTTGAGTAAATTTAACTTTTATTTAATAGTATTTTTTATGAAACATAAATTATAATAATATTTCTAGAACCACTTTTCATATATTCTAGCAGCCAATAACATCTGTCGACACACTGTGTTGGAGCGACTCACGTTTTTCACTTTGCTATTACCTCTCGAACGTTCCATCGAAAGTAGGCTTAGCTAGCAGTTTAACTACTAACAATAATACTAAGACCTGAAGCTGCTAAAATGTCGATTCAGACACTGAACCCAAAGGCTGAAGTAGCTAGAGCAGCACAAGCTCTTGCAGTAAATATGAGTGCTGCAAGAGGACTCCAAGATGTATTGAAGACAAATCTTGGTCCAAAGGGAACCATTAAAATGTAAGTCATCACCCTGCCTGTCTGCTCATTCCCTGGTCTGCTATACTGTAGTGTAGGCCTAGGCCTAGGCCTAAGCTTCTTGTTTGCAGTGAGTTAGTAGGCCTAGCCAGGACCTGTATCGTCGCTCCACCACTAAAGTTAAAAAAAAAACAAACTAGAGGCCGCTCTATTTCATGATTTTTACTTAGAGGCCGCTATATATATATATATATATATATATATATATATAGATTTTTTTTTTTCAACAGGAACAATAGATTATTTCGCATTTGTTTTTATCGATGAGGGAGGGACTGTTTATATTTGGTCTGTAATAATAGTAAATATTGTATAAAAACTGGTTAAATTTTATAGTTTTTAAAATAAAATATATTTGGAGTAACAAAATTGCATTGTTATTTTTATGCCGTTGAAATAATTGATGTAGCAAAACAATTTTTTTTTTATTCTCGCATAAATATTTCCCGAATTTTTGACGTGGGCGGGAGTAATAATTTAATAAATTTTTCTATTTGCCCTAAGATAGCAAGACTGAGGTTTATTAGCATCAAGCCAGGTTGTTGGAACAATATCCACAGCCTTTCTTTAGAGTCATTTGCACTTACAGTCCATTATTGGCGTATCTACTGGGATGTGTTGGGACACACCACCTAGTTTGCCCACACCCACTGAAAATGTTTGAATTGAAGAAAATCTATGCTCAAGTAGTTAAAAAAAAATCACTGAAAGCTAGTGTCACCTCTTCCCCCTTAACTTGATCACACACCTTTTTTACAAATCGGTAGGCATGAAACAGTTAGTGGTGCGTAACCATAAAAAATAAGCTTTGAAGCTGAATTCTTAACCTCATGTTATTTAATAAATAATGGATTGATTTTTATTTCTGGAAAATGTTAAAGAAATTGTCTAAATTTTTGTTAATCTCTGGAGTTTCTCAGGTGTTAAAGCATTCTGAATTTCAGTATCGCTGGAGGTTGGACCCTGGAGGATATCCATGTTTTGCCTGGTAACCAGGTTTCCACAGCAGGGTAAAGACAAATTTATAAAAAAAACATCTTTCTTTATATATTATATTATATCCAGGTTGGTTTCTGGTAGTGGTGACATTAAGCTGACTAAGGATGGTAATGTTCTTCTTCACGAGATGGTAAGTCTATAGGTTTCTGGGTTGATATTTCTAGTGATGCTCTTGAATTTTCTGACAGGGTGTCCAACAAGTTCAATAGGTGTCCTATCCAAGGGCCACCTTAAGTTTCTGGCTAGGGTCCTTGATCAAAGGGAACAGATTTTGTATAGGATGGTAAAATTGTGCTTTTAGACCAAAAGTTTAGGAACTGCAATCACAAAAGCTTGGTTAGATCGTCAAAATATAGTCCATGACCACAAGTGATGTCAAATAGTCCATACTTTTTATGACCCCTTATAGTGCCTCCACAGTTCACCCAAATTTGTTTTGCCTTAAAACATATTTTTTTTTTTAATTCTTTGCAGCAAATTCAACATCCTACAGCATCACTGATTGCAAAAGTAGCAACTGCTCAGGACGATATCACAGGCGATGGCACCACATCAAATGTACTCATTATAGGGGAACTATTAAAGCAAGCAGATTTGTACATTTCAGAGGTGAAATAGAAATTTACTGAGTGGTTATCACTGTCATGCTCAATCATCAAGGAAAGAGAGATCAGCTCTCTGGCCTTTTAGCTCGGAGATCTGGTTTAGACTTTACATTTCCTTTTAAATTGCTATAAATCACAATTCTTCAAGAACCAGGCATTACACTGTTCAGGAATTTACAAAATTTTGCACATAAATAAAAGGTTTTGGCAGTAAAAAAGAATATGGTAAAAAAAAACAACAGAGTTCCCCCCCCCTCCCCCGCCATTGGAAATATAAAAATTATGCTCCAGTATTTAAAAATCACCTCATATAATATCACCTTATTTTGTGAATCAAATAAGTTAATGAGTTGTAAGTGTCTGCTCATTCAATCATCAAGTTCCCCCCCCCCCTCATTTTAGGACTCTTGGGGCACGTTTATACAACACGCCATTACACGCCTTATCACCGCGGCAAAGTTAAGTGTGTTGTATAAACAAGTTTGGATTCCGTGTGATTACAAAACCATCTGGAAAAGAGGCTACTTATCGCCAAATCGCCAAATTTGGCCGGTTCATGACCCTGGCGATACCTACTTGTTCCCTCAGGCTACGGCGAGCGGTAATTAATCAACTCGACAGGTCGCTATTTCGTTAAAATAAAAGTATCACTGGGTGTATTTAGTGATTTTCTTGTATGTTACATTTTTGTTGGTTTCATTGATCTTGAACCATTTTTTTTTTCCAGTACTGTACTGTAATTTTATTTTGGATTTGTATATTTCTGTGACAGACCTTACTTTTGTCTTGTTGCTCCACAAGCCTATGGCCTTCCCCCTTCATTCGTCTGTCTGACAGAAACAGTCAAAAGATCGTCTTCTCCCATGATACTCAACCGTACAATACAATAATAGTGAAGTAAAAACAAAAGAGGATTACGAGAGAAAATATTAAGGGAATATTAACACAATTGATCAATTGTAAACAGTTCACTCCTCTTCCAAAAAACAAACCGTGCAAATGCAGCGGAAGGAGAGTACAGTTGCACTGTTGCTTTGACAATGTATCCCAAAATACATTGCGCCATACGATACTTTCGGGTGTAACACACATATTGGCATGTTGTATAAACAGCAAAGTTTGGAGGGTCGCCTTGGGTAGTGAAAATACATTCAAGAACATAAAACTGTGTTCGTGGTTAGTGTGTTGTATAAACACAGCCTTAGGTACGCCACTGAACACAGTTTTTAATGATTTGGAGTCTATCCTGTTGGCCAGTCGTATGATTTCTTGTTTCTACATTTTTCTAATAACCAGTTGTGTTTTTTTAAGGATGTCCCATGCAAAGTACAAAAAAATCCTAAATTTCATTTTTTAACTTAACATGCTTGTTTTGAAGTAACATAAATATTATCAACTTGAATGTAGAAATGAGTGTATTTAAAAAAGGTTTACCCATAATTTCACAGTGGGAAATGATAGAAACACTTCCAGTAACTGAAAGTGTTTTATTATTTTTACTATCATTATTTAGTATAAAAATCAGGGTACACGTTTTTTAAATTCAATAATTTCTATGTTCAGGTTAATAATTTGTATGTTTACTGCAAAATTAACAAATCTATTTTGTGCTTTTTTAGGGTTTGCATCCTCGCCTTATCACAGAAGGCTTTGATTTTGCCAAAGCAAAAGCTCTTGAAGTCCTTGAAAAGGTAAAAGTTACACGTGATATTGATAGAGAGACCTTAATCAATTTGGCAAAGACGTCACTCAGAACCAAAGTACATGCTGAACTTGCAGATATTCTCACAGAGGTAAGACCATTCATAAATAATGTACTTGGACTTTCAAAACTTTGTCTTTATTACTTTAATAAACTTTGACATTAGTGAACAATCTGAATGAATTAGATTATATTCTCTGTAAAGCAAACATATTCCACAATGTATGGTTAACAATTGTATTGTTGTTATACCAATCTGATTTAGGTCAATAGAACCATGTTTATTTAAATGTTATAAATTTTCAGTCTAGTAGAAACATTCTGTATAAATAAATAGATACATTCCTTAAATTGTCCAAAACACTAAAATGCCATGATCATTGCTTTGCATGTCTACATAAATAGTGTAAAATTTTAAACAATGATGTGTGGATATATTCTCCATTAAAGGTTGTTGTAGATGCAGTGTTAGCTATCAGAAAGGAAGGTGAGCCTATAGATCTTCACATGGTTGAAATAATGGAGATGCAGCACAAGGCAGACACAGACACAACTCTAGTGCGAGGGCTAGTAATGGATCATGGCGCCCGTCATCCAGACATGAAGAAACGTGTAACTGATGCTTATATATTTACTTGTAATATATCAATGGAGTATGAAAAAAGGTTGGACCAAGGATTTACTGCTATTTTTTAAATTTTGTATACATGTTACTACAGTGCTACAAAATAGTATGCCCTGTATGTTAATACTCAGTTTGTAATAACATTCATGGTTTATGAGTTAATATGCATCACATGCACAAACTAATAATAATATTGATTTTATCAACTGATTTCAATCCCCTTATTTTAGTCATCGCATTAATATTATATATCGTAGAGCAGAAATTACTGCACAGAAACGTTGTCCTTTGTAATCAGACCAATTTTTTCCACACAGAAAATAGCAAATAATGAACACTTCAGATTTAAATTTGACACAAGAAGATTTCACTTTTATTTGTATAGAATGATATGAAAGTTGGGAAATGGATTAATTTAACTCTGACAAACCAAATTCCAATTTTTTATGTTATTGCAGTGAAGTCAATGCTGGATTTTTCTACAAGTCTGCAGAAGAGAGAGAAAAGCTGGTACAAGCTGAACGAAGTTACACTGATCAGAAAGTGCAAAAGGTGATCGAGTTCAAGCGATCTGTTTGTGAAGGGACTGAGAAATCATTTGTAATCATCAACCAAAAGGTAACTCAATAGGTTCCTTTAGGAGGCATTATTGCAAAACAGGCTTTTAAAGAGGCCTCTGAGCAGGTGCGAGCCAAGGACCAAGCACAAGCTTAATGTGGCTGAGAGTGTTACTCAAGTGGTAGTGCTGGTTTTGCCCTTTATTCTTACCCATCTTTGGGTTTCATTTGATATTCCATCTCTTTTCTTTTAGAATGTTATTTTGAATCAATATTTTTATGCATAAATATAAGAGTATACACATTTGTCTACCCCCTCCTCTCTAGCTTACTGTTTGTACACTTGTGAAAAATTTGATAATGTTGAACAGCCTCTTAGTTCACTGAAGTTTTAGCTCACTTCCATTCTGAGGGTTCGGAGTTAAAATCCTAGAAATCTTGATGATGTTTCTGTAACCATTCCCAAAGCTCATAATGAGACTTGCATTAGAGTTATCATCATGTTTGTAACCTTTATTATTATTGAATGTACATACTGTTTAATTAGTGAATGTACATGGCTGTTTAATTAGTGAATGTACATACTGTTTAATTAGTGAATGTACATGGCTGTTTAATTAGTGAATGTACATGCTGTTTAATTAGTGGATGTACATGCTGTTTATACTACAAGATAAGAAATTATAAATCAAATAAAATATTCTTGTACTTTATTGGTCATTCATATACTTTCATGATTTAATACTTTCGGAAAATTATATTTCCCTTATTTATTAGGGCATTGACCCACTGTCATTAGATATGCTTGCCAAGGAGGGAATTGTAGCTCTGAGAAGGGCCAAGAGAAGAAACATGGAAAGGTGAAGTATAATTTTACTTGTTTATCTTGAAATATTAGGTTTGGTAATGCAATGTAAAATTTACATGGCTATTTAGAAAAAAAAAATCTATTTAAGTTCAGGAGAAAAACAATGAACTGAACTGGAATAAATCACAATAATTGAATAGTATTTTTATCTTCAAAATGCAATTCAAATTCATTCTATAAAATTAGAAGAATATACAGTATATTCAATCAGGATCAGATCCATTATTTAAATGGCCGGACACTTGGGATTTCAGGCCTTGAATTTGGGGATTTTATGGGCAAGGCCAAATTGCCTCCGGTATGACATGATTTTGAAAGGCACCAAGGCCAAATGGAAAGGCACCAAGGCTAAAATTTCAAGTACAAAAGGGCACCCAAGGCAAAATTTGATTTAGCCTCAGTACTAATTTCTCGCGAGTGCCTTGATTCGTCGTAGCCAGGCTAGGCAAGCTAGGCCTAGACCAAGCCAAGCTAGGCCTAGCCAAGCCAAGTGAGGCCTAGCCAAGTCAAGCTAGGCCTAGCCAAGCCATAGTTGTCAATGGTAATATGTCTTTGTTTAGAGTATTAACTATTAATTATCGATTCAATGTTGGAATATACTGCGGCGGTCGGCGATCGTACAAAACAGTCAAATTTCAAGAAGTTTGATATCTTTGCGTTGTTGCTCAGTCCGTCGTCATCGGAGAGGAAGCCACAACTCTTAAACTGGCCGCGAAAGCTGCGATGACGTAAGATCGCCCAAAGTTAGCTGTGCAGCAAGCACATGTTTACAACTATACAAAGGCCGTATTCGACTGGTCGTTCTTCATTAAACCACGCCCACCTGCACAGCGGTAACATCCAACTCAACAAAGACGACCAGTCGAATAGAAAAATTGTAAATACTCGACAAAACAAAATGGCTGTATAGTTACCTCGATACACGTTGCGTAATCAAGACTGCTTCAACTTATGGTATTATGGGTTTTTCGTAAAAAAAAATATTTTCATCCAGTTTTTTTTATTCTGCTTGCCTACAATAATTTTTTGACTCCATGTGGGTAAATATTATAATGTTTATTTTATGAAATTTTAATCTAAGTTATATTAACGCAAATGTTGTTAATAAAAAATCACCAATTGGCCATGTTTCTCTTTGGTCACGTGGATAACTTAACGCTGAATTACGCACTCTGGTTTACGTTAATTTTCGTTGTCAACAAAGTCTATTTAACGAACCAGTCGAATGAAAATAATACTCAACGAAAAATTCGTTCCAACGAAATGAACCAATGTTTATATTGCTAGAGTAAGACGCATGCGCACACAACGGTAACCGCAAAAACAGTTCGTATCAACACACATGGAAATTCTCTCATGTTTTGTTCTGTCACTGCAACTAGGCCTAGGCTAGCTTAGGCGACCTACGTTTTCTTTCAAGATTTAAACTTTATTACTTAGATTTATTTTACGTGTCAAACGATCTATATTAAGCATCGTGAGGGTACCGAAGCCAAGGCTTCAAAAGGGCATTCAAGTAGTGGCCGTCGTCGTGCTTCATTTTCAGGGGCACCAAGGCGAACTGGGAGGGCACCGTCGGCAATGGCAGCGGTGGCCGCGGTAATATTCGAGGCCTGGGATTTCTGGATTTTCCACCATCAATCATGTAAAATGTTTCTGTTGTTTCTCCTGTGTGTTAAATATCTTGCTAGGTTGGCACAAGCAAACATGCACAAAACAACTACTCAAACAGGCTGCAGCTGTGAATAGAGTGATGGTTTATTGTCAAAACACTAGACACAATAAATAAATATTTATCTGTATAGCGGCAACTCTTACCAATATTAACATGCCCCTGTGCCCACTAGATACGCAATTGTCAGTCATAAACAAGATGTTATTCTTTTCTTCAGATTGACTTTAGCTTGTGGAGGCACTGCTACAAACTCTGTGGAAGGGCTTACTAAGGATTGTCTGGGCCATGCTGGACTAGTATATGAACATGTACTTGGTGAGGATAAGTACACATTTGTTGAAGAGTGTGCAAATCCTCAATCTGTTACAATTTTGATTAAAGGTCCAAATAAGCACACGCTAACTCAGGTGAAGGATGCAATTCATGATGGTTTGAGAGCTGTAAAGAATGCCATCGAGGATGGTAAGTTTCATTGTATTGATTTGTACTGTCTGCTTTGTCGTGATTTATTATGCATGTTTGAGTGTTCCTCAGTATCCATTTTCTTTGTCCAGTACATGCATGCATGCTTGTATTTTACACATCTGGTAGTTCTCTGCTTTGTTTTCATTTATGCATGATTGCCTTCACCAAAGGGCAGTTATGTATTCATTGCTGTCCGTCTGTTACGAAGATTCCGCAAAAATTAATGAATAGATCATCATAGAATTTAGTGGAATATTACATAATATTCAAAGAAAAAGATTGTTAAATTTTGGGAAGAAAAGGACATGGAGTGACTCCTCTAGATGGGTGACCTCGGTGATGTGGAGACCGTAGCCTGTCTTCCCTCTGGCCTTTGGCCCTTGGGATGATAGGCTACTGTCTCCACATCACCTTAGGGACAATAGATTTCACCATTCCCCTCATGAGCAGTCTGAGTCAATATTTGTATATTATTTGTTGTATTTGTAAACTACTCTTACAGGGTCAGTTGTCCCTGGAGCTGGAGCATTTGAAATCGTTGTTCATGATGCTCTTGTGAAGTACAAGGATTCTGTGAAAGGCCGTGCTAAGTTAGGAGTTCAAGCCTATGCAGATGCACTGCTTGTTGTACCCAAGGTCTTGGCTCAAAACTCTGGGTTTGACCCCCAAGAAACAATGGTGAAACTACAGGAAGAGTATGCTGAAGCTGGACAACCTGTAGGGGTTGATATTAGTTCAGGTAAACAATAAAAAAAAATCACTAAATTACCTAAATCACATTATATATTTTTCTTATCATTTAAATATTTATTATCATATCAATAATTCCTAAAGTGTATTATTTCAATTATTTATGCAGTGTTGTTTTGTCTCAAATTACCAAATGTAATGGTAGAGCTTTTTACTTCTTTTGGTTTTAGGCAGTAGTATTTTCCCAATCACTCTGTTTTTGATTAACTGAAGTATTGACATAATTTTCTTCCCATTTTCCATTTAAGAAAGACATACAAAAGAGACCCACTTCTCAATACACCTTTTTATTATTTAATGGAGTCTCTTCTAATGTATTTAAGATGCAGTTTGTATAGTGCCAATTGGATCCACTTGCCAACTCAGCGGTGCTTTAGACCATTGGATCCATTAGCAATATGGAACCATATCCACTTCCTGAAGGAGTATTCCAGTGATGCTGGAAGTATCAGATCAGCTATCCATTTATGAAAGGCTGTGCCCCAGTTTGAAAAGAAGTAACTTAGAAAATGTGTCTGGCTCAAGGACGCAAATAAGTGATTTGATTCAGAATTAATTTTAAGCTAAAACCTTCCTGGTGTGCCACTTGCTTCCACAATTCAAAAGTTTTGTGTGAATTCACATTTTAAATAAAAGGTTTTTTCAATTCTGTATTCAGGTGAAGCCCTGGTAGCTGCAGATGCTGGTATATGGGATAACTATTGTGTCAAGAAACAAATTTTGCATTCCTGGTAAGTAATTTTCTATCTTGCTATGTAATATTATAGGCCCTATCAAATTGGGGCTAATGAACAAAACTCAGGTTGGTCCACTATATTCCTAATGGAACTTACCTGTGAAAAGTAATGGAATTGTCTAACCCAGATGTATGTAACACATTGACATTAAGTAACCAGCCTTAATGACTTCTTTAGCATGTCCTTATATGTCTTGCACTAACCACCCTGATGCCGTTTAACACTCGCAAGTTCGCTGTATGAAGTTTGCATTAGGATGCGATTATATAATTATCTAAACCAGATGTATGTAACACATTGACATTAAGTAACCAGCCTTAGTGACTTCTTTAGCATATCCTTATGTCTTGCACTAACCACCCTGATGCCATTTAACACTCGCTGTATGAAGTTTGCATTAGGATGCGATTATATATAGATTGCTATTAAAGTACTGTTTGTTATTAATTTTCAGAATTATTTTATGTATTTCATGGTAGTTGTTTCTTGTGGTTAAATAATTTATCTTAACATTAAAACATATATTGTTTTTGATTTATTTTTAGTACTGTGATTGCCAGTAATCTTCTCTTAGTAGATGAAATAATGCGAGCTGGTCTGTCTTCGCTGAAAGGATAAACTTTAAGCATGTTGACTTGATGTTCAACAGCAATTGCTGGAAGCGTGTTATTTGTATTGAGTGTATTAAGCTTGGCAATGGTTAGCTATTTGAATTTAGCCTCTGAAAGATATTACAGTATCTATTGCGAGACAATCGGAGCAAAAATTAGATTTTATCAAATCTAACAAACTAAAAATGCAGAAACTGTCATGTAGTCTCCATTGACTTACCATGAAGACATGAACAAGTAGTTACACAAGCAAATATCTAAATCGTTTGGCTCATTCTAAAATAATTTAAATAAAAATGTATTCAAAACATTTTTGAAGATCCAGATATTTTCCTCTTAAGCTCTGGTCCTCACTATCACATTTTATGTGACAAACTTTGTGATGTGCCCATATATGGGCATATCACATTTTATGTGACAACCTTTGTGATGATGGGCATATCACATTTTATGTGACAAACTTTGTGATGTGCCCATATATGGGCATGTTACATTTTCTTGTCACATAAAATTTGATAGTGTTACACTAATATTTAGATCAGTTCACACTATCAAATTGTGACAAATACCTGTGATTTTGCCATGGTTGTGGTATGACATCACCATTTCCATATATAGGAAAGTCGCAGATGTCTGTCACAGAAATCTTGATAGTTTAGACTGAGCATTAGAAGCTCCAATATTATTCTGAAATAATTTTCAATTTTATTGAACTGAGTATTATAGATTTCTTGTATTGTTTCTTCACATTCTGAAAGGCTTGGTTATGCATTCACCTCAAATCGGAACCATAATTTCAGACTGCCTTTCCAGTGTGCTGAGCACCAGCATTCCCATTCTTACATACTGATCCAGTTTTTTTTTTTATCATTTTCCGATCCGAAAAATTGAATTTGGTGTGAATGCACCATGATGCATATATAGCTTTGTTATCTAATGTATGATAAGATATTTTCATTATCATACATTAGATAACAAGTTACAAATGTATGTATGATAATATTGTATTCTCAACATTATTCAATGAAAGCACACAATTAGACTAGCAATTCTTAGCAGTAAGTAAAGAATAATGTATCATTAAAAAAGAGAATTCATATAACATACCTTATATGGGAGCTCCACAGGTACCAAAAATGAATATTTATTTTCTGTGCTAGCATGGAATTAAGACATCAAGTTAATTTTGTGTTAGCATCATTTGTAAAAACCAAACTTAAAACTGAAATAAAAAAGTAAAATTAATAAGACAATATCCAACACAATCTTTTATTATTCTGCTGCTAAGCGAGAATGCTAATTAGTGGAAAATGACATCACTTTGTTTCATACAAACATGGAATTATTAATAGGTCCATGATAGCAACATAGGAGGCTACATAGCCTTAAATGAGGCATCATCTGAATAAGAATCTAATACATTGTTAGGAGACTCCTTATAATTTCAAAGACCTCCGTAAGTGTGTATGAAGATCTGTCCACACTATCAAATTTTATGTGACAAATTTGTGTGCTGTGCCCATATATGGGCATGATGATGTCATATTACACCCAAATATGGGAAATATTTGTCAAGTGTGGTAGTGTGGACAGAGCTTAAAGCGTCATTGTAATCCTTCTGTTGCAGAGTTTTTCAGTTCAGGCACTATTGGGCCTAAAAAAAAAATTGTTTGTTTGCCCTCCAGCTCCCGCCCCAGCTCACGGAAAAATAAAGGCGGTGTGTCTTTAAAAAAAAAAAATTTGTTTTCGATGTTTTGTTAAATTTTAAAAAATGATCCATTTTGCAATGAAAGTTGTCTAAATTTGGTGTTTGATATAAGGTGTCACCATTCTAGGCCTAAATCCATTACCCCTCCTATACAATTTTCAGCATTAAAGGGCAATCAAACAATATAATTTTTTAGGCCTAGTATGGTTTGAGTAGTTGTGAAAGTGTGCATAATAAATCTTTATAGGTTTACTCTTTACCAATTAGTGTTGTAAGAGTGTTAAGTTAGCAATGGATTCTTTTTGTATTATTGTACAAATAAATTGGCTTCAAGTGCAGATGCTCACTTGTATTTACTTGTTTACAGTTTTGGGAGTATCAGTTCCAATTAAGTTTGACAAACTTGCAAGCGTCTTGTTTCTCGTTTTGTTTTGATGAATCCTCCCTCGAATGGTCTCTAGGCATGGCTTGGAAATTTTTTCTCCTAAATGCACATAAATACGGGGTTTTTTTTGTTGTCAATTTAGGGCAGTAATTTAAGTAATAAAAATATGCTGCATATATCCATTTTACTTCAGAATAAATAATACTATGACAAGTTATATAGCGCCCAATCCGCCTCAAAGAAAGAGTACGCTTATGGTGCTTAATTCAACTGTAAGATTGTAAAGAGCCATTTTGTGAACACGAGTTCACGAAAAACTCCCTGATTTGTTTGTTTGTTTATTATTTATTGCCATCATTATTATAATATCACAACAAAAAACATGTACATAAAAACACACAAAATGAGAGCAAGAGGATAACCCTATAACCTCTAGGAGCTTGTTTCCATTTGGGAGTCCTCAACCTATAGAAAGAGAAGCAAATATAAACAAAATAAAAAAATTACGTTTCGATATTCGTTTAACTGTGTTGCGCTCTCTATACGATAATTATTCCATATGGCGACGAACAAGGAACTTGCGTGGCAGCGTATACTGTACATGTGCTCTGATCTTACAGTGTTCAAGCTAGTTCCATTGACAAGAAGTAAGAATAGATAAACCAAAGAATGCAGGTTTAAACTAGACCTGTGCGTATACCGTAAAAAACTCGAATTGAATCTCCCCCCCCTCCCCTCCTTAGTTTGTGAAGTTAGCCTCGAAGGAAGGGCCTCTTTCAATATAGCTTAGACTTCATTTCGAGATAGTACAGTACATACACTGTACATGAATTTCAAAAACTTAGGATATACCTTGTTATCGCGACATTTGACGATAAAGTCCAGGTCAAGTTCCGTCTTGCGTAGTTTCCTATAACACCTTTGTAGTAGAGCGGCTAAGGAGAAAAATCGTGCACTTTTGGAAGAAAGCATGAAACTTCCCACAGTGATACTGTGACACCTAAGGATCATTTTAACAAAAATAGACCCCAAAAAATAAGCCGCTTAGTGGCCGCCATCTTGAAATTCAAAATGGCCGCCAAAATATTTTATCAATAATCTTCATATCTACAGCACCTAGCACTGTCATTTAAAGGTCTTTACCTATGTTTTCAATATCAGGGAGTATTATGCAATCATCAGAAATTATGTCAGATGACCAACATATTTGCTTTCAAGATGGCTGCCAAAATATTGTTATTTTTGTCATTATCCTCATATCTACAGTAACGTAACACAGTCAATAACACCTTTAACCATCTTTTTAATATTAAAGAGTATCATGCATTCATCAGGAAATTATGTTACAAGGCCGCCATATTGGATTTCAAGATGGTTACCAATGAAAGTTCCTTCTTCAGTTGTATGAAAAAGTTTCTTGAACGTGTACTCGCTTACTATCTCAGTGTCATATCAGTAGGTTTACATCCAACCATTCTGCACATAATGTACAAACTCGATCAGCTTTCTTACTTTGTTTTACCATGGAGAAGATATTCTCCATGGTTTTACTATGTATGCTATCTTTATTATATAT